ATATCGTATATAAGTGATAAATGGTTAAATAGTCTTTTAAATTAAAGGGAAAAGAAACGCAAAGCTCAGTACCCGGATAAGTGCTCTGATCCAAGAGTCCTCGAAAGCCTGCAGCCCCAAAAGAGGTTATGCCAACTTGTATCAGTTTTCCATTACTTCCTTTGGCCAGCAATGGTCCACCACTATCGCCCTAGAAGCACTCTTCACTTACGCGGTAGATATGCTTTATGAAATAAAATGCAAAATACCGGTCCAGTTCCATGCATTCTGGATCCAGCGCACAATTGATCATCAGAAATCGTTATTGTACCTCCCGATAATACGCTCCATTCTTTTCTAAAATATTACTTCTAAGATCTATGAATGGAAAGTTAAGAATTTAAGAAGCAACTCACTGGCACTTGCTTTTTGAAATTATTGGTAACGTCGTCTCGAGTACAACATCACTGACTCCCATAGTCACTCCAAACAAGGACTGGCTTACTGAAATAGAGGAATAAAATTACATAAAAGTTAGTTTTCATAATACATATAGTCAAAATACATGCATAATTAAATTATCTTCCTTCAAAAGGCCCTCTACAACGAGTCGCAAAATGCAAACTTTTTTTTTTTGATTTGGAGAAAGGCCCTGAAGAACCACAGTGCAAAGATCTTTTCGTTTTTTTACCTTGCTGATCACAAAATCTATGATATAGCAATAATTTTTTTCGATAATTCACATTTTCCTCTCTGCTATTTTATCCTCATTTGATTGCTTTGACAATTCCGCACTAGTTGTGAAAGTTGAATGGAAGGATTTTAACCTTATGTTCAAATCTTGGCATATATTATTAAATAAGTAAAAGATGATCAGAAAACATAATATTCGAGTTATGACTACTTTCTAAACAAATGCTCGAGTGCAACTTGAAATCCTTATGAAGAATATCCTATTTTCGATGTGATTTCCAAGCAGTAATTAAACTCAAAAACTCCAAAAATTATTTACGCAGTTTAAACCCTGAGTCGGAATAAGTACCACATCTTTAGCAATGTAGTCTTACATTTCGGCATTTAACAATGAGTTTGATCGCGGTGGCGGAGCCAATAGAAGTTTGACGATGTTGAAAACCAGTCATCTTCCATAAGAAAAGCGTAAATCATAATGT